AGGAACCTTTCTACTTTTAAATAGAGCTGCCAGATAATATTCTTGCCCACCATCTCAGGCCAGTGGGTGACTAAAATCTGCAACTTTCAAACAGACTGAAAAATTCAACCATCCCTTTTTCCAATGAAAATGCCTAACAGTGTCTTGGGGTTCAAAAGAAAGAGCTATTAACTCAGTTATACCCTGGCGATCCCGAGGGACGTGGAAAAATGGGGAGAAGGGCCCGCCACAGAGCTGCTACAGTCAAACAATTTCGAACCTCCCAGATACATAATTCTAGCAGTCATTCCCCGTGGTCTGCATCACCCACTCGTGTTCTCAATTAGGAGCATAAAACGATGGTGCTTGTAAAACAAAGTAATTCACAAACAACACAAGCAGAGATTTTGCAGTACCCAGAAGCCAAGCCCCATGTAAGAAAAATCTCAATGCTGAGACCACAACTAGGAAACTTCAGAGAACTCAAGTATTTTCTAAAGCCTATCAAATTAATTTGAGAAAGGTTTAAGATAAAGCCCTTTATCTATGTATGTGACCAGCAGGATAATGAATTAAGCTAGCAGGCTCTGGGGGTCAATTCTGGCCCTATACGTTACCAGCTATGGAACCATCAGAAAATGAGATATAAAATGATCTACTGCTCAGGGTGATAGAAGCTCTCTTGATACATCAAAAGCACTAAATAAAAGTTAACTATTATTATTTCTGCTATTAAGATGTGTCATCCTTATTGCTACAGAGGAAATAGGATGCCTGTCACAGAGCAGACTGTCAATTCATATTTTTGAATGAATAAATATGTGAATGTTTCATAGGTTAGAGTCACACATGAAATACAAGCTACGAATACTGATGTTGGATATTCTCTTGAGAGAATGCGGTTATTAATGTTTATTAAACATTTTTCAGAAATGTCATTTCAGAACAAAAATTAAGGGAGAAAAGCGCAAGGTGCAGTTTAAAAATATATAAGACGTATTCATCATTTATAATGTATGGCCGTTGTGGACAGGGAATTTTAAATTGTTGCTCCAGTGTTACGTCCAATACAGGCTGGGCATCACTGAACACAGAGGTTTAGCAAATGTCTGTGGAAATGGCAGTCAGTTTCAGAGAATCAGTGAGGTTAAATGCTAAGGTGCAGGAGGGCAGAACAGTTCCCTTTTTAATCACTTTTACGACTACCTAATAAAAAGTCTGACATACATGAGATCCTTAGATGCTGTCAGGAGACAGAAAACCAACTTCCTTTTTTCAATATTACTTCTAAATGGAATACTCACATTGAAATGTACGTATCTTTTGCCACGTGAATATACAAATGGCAGTTCTCCCTTTAATATAGGACTTGGGCTTGGAGCTCCTTCTCCTCAGGTGAAAACAAAACAGAAAACAATCCAGTGTTTTACAAATGTCAAAGCTATGACAAGTGAGTGTGTGTGGGAGGGGGGTACATATCAGATTAAAACCTCTCAGGAATATTCAATCTAGACATTTCTAGAAGGAAGACCAAGCTGGCACAAGTAATAACTGACTTTTCCTCATGGTACTTTCAACAAGATGAATCTATCCTTACATCAAAATATATTTATCCAGTGTTAAGTACAGGGTAAACTACCATCAACATGACATGTTTTATTGTAAATCAAAATGTTTACTCTTTTCACTCCCAGTGTACCTCCCAGATCCACAGTCTCAAAGTTCTCATGACCACAGGCTTTCCTGTCCCCAAGCCAGGTTTTATTCGCTCCTCCCCACTTGCAGTTCAGAATACAGAAGATCCAACTTATCTAACCACATCCACTGAGAAAAGCAAAAGTAACAACAAAACGCTCAACCTCAGATCTATAATAAGCTAAGCATCGCTCATGTCTTAGAACATTTTACAAAAATAAACACAGGGCACAAAAACTTAATAAATGGATGTCAATCTATTTGGGCAGATTTATGGCAGGAAAGCAGTGAGAGAAATAAAGGTATGAATTGTAAATCAAATCACATGGACACTTATGGAATTTCTGTAGCTAGAGAAAATCTTGCAAGCATTATCAAAGAAAACCACCTTTGCACCCCCCAAAATAAGTATTCACCTTAAAATCAACACTTACTTAAAACTGTCCCATGAAGAAAGGACTTTGGATCAGTCATGAGCCAGTATGTTAACTTTCATCTGCAGGGACAGTGGATCTTTTCCTACTAAAGGAGGCCAGGAAGTGTGGCACTTTCTAGTTCTAAGAACCTAAGTCCAAACTGCTCATCCGCCCGGCAAGTGTGGGAGAGTACTGAGAGAGCTGGAAGCGGGCTGGTCAGAACCCCAGGCAAATCCCTGGGGGCTTCCTCTCCCAGCCCCTCCTGACCTCTAGACTCCACAGGGTGGAATTTCTGTTCTGCATATTATTAAAGGACCCGATAGCCACACTTGCTACTGGGGTATCTTTTCATATCCAACAAAACAAAACCCTTAATGCTCAGTAAAATGTGTATGTGAAGTGTGTGCTCAAAGTTCTCCTGTATGAACCAAAATCCCACTGCGGGGAAAGAGTCCTAACACTTAGCATTTCGCTGGGGTAGGTCCCATTTTGTACACGACTGAGGCAATGTTTATTTGCGAGGCATTTTTTACCATAGCCTCTTCATCACCAAATCTCAACCACCGGGGAAAAATGAGCAGTTGTGCCAAACCCAGCATATATTTTGGTCTCAGCCTTTGTGGACCTGCATTTCCCTTAGAAGCAAATGGAAATAGTTCATAATTAAAACATTCTGAATTGAGTGTCAGATTCATGGATTCAATCTAGAGAAACAAAAGATGATGCAGCAGAATATAAAATAACTCCCTCATTTAGCGGATAGGTTGCATTTTTCTCATAATGTTAAATATTAAGTTAATTTCAAATATTTGCTGCTGCAGCTAAACAAGGCTCAGTTTTTTGCTTTTTTTTTTTTTTTTTTTCAATTCTATTTGAAAGAAAGCAAGATTGCCATTACAACTGATATCGAAGTCACTGCCCAGCCTCACCGCTGAGTGATTACAGTGGGTTCTCTAGCTAAGCGGGGCCAGGACTTCTGAAGGCCTCTCAACAGAATTTCACCAGTGTATAATTCTAAAACCAAATCCCGAATTTCATTTTGCCATGTATTTAATGTTATAATTGTCTGTATTCAATTCATTCCCCATGATAACATTAAGTAAATTCACAATTGTATTTATAAGCTACAGTGAGGTGGAGTTGATTGGCTGAATGTTGATGTCATTTAACAATTAGTTCTCACTGCCTGCCTCTATTAGTAAATACTTGTACTGGTATCCTCTAGCTCATGGTAAACACCTTAAAACGTTGCCTGAATTTACTTCCAAAATCAATGGGACACTGAGAAACATGAAGATAGCAGAGATTCCAATACTGGGTGTTTACAAATATTTTAACTGAGTTCTTTAAAAAAGTTTATTTCTAGAGCATTTCAAATTTTTAAATGCTAGTAACCAAGTGACATATTATCTGAGTTGTCTGCAAAACCCAGAGTCCCTGAGGTAAGCGTCACCTGCTTCATTATATCATCCTATTGATTTAACTGTGTTTAATTAATTTAAATTACTTTTATTCGATGGTTATAAATTCACATCCTCTCTACTCCGAAGGTAAGAGTGGGAGGAAAGAGAGAGATAAGCTAAAATGACAAAAAGACTTTGCTCTGAATTTCAAGAAATGGACACTTAATAGAGAAATTATTTTACCTATGGCTACAGTTTCCCTTAAAAGAACATAGAAAGCCACCATTAATTATAAACTTAATTCATTTGCTTCATTCTCTAATTACTCACAAATATCAAAGTAAAGCTGAGGGACTATAATGCTGCAAACCTGAAATGCATGGAGTTTCCATGAAACAGTCCACAAATGCCCACAAGCTGCCTTGCAAAGGTGCCCAGTATTCTCACCAGCATCACAACAGAAATACATCTTTGGAGTATCTCAATTGCAGAAATGTTTACAGCAGAGTCCGAGGGTTCACGTTCAAAGGACTGACAGACTACCATTCATAATGACCTTTTAAACTTCAATTAAATGCAAAACTTAAATTCAGTGAAAAATCTGGTGATACCAGCACTTCAACGATGCTAAATCACAGAATGACCTTACACTGGTTATGGGCCCCGAGGATGCACTGTAGCACATTTATGCAGTGACCACACGAGTTTACGACGCCCACTCGGTTTTACTTGAAACCAGCTGAGCATTATTAAAATGATGCTTGGTTTTTTAAATCTGGTAACAGGGGCACAGTCTGTATCTCAAGCTTTAGCTGCCCTTTACCAAAACTCATTCTAAAAATCATATACAATAATAATTTTTGTCTCATTTCATAAATCCCTGATGGTAGGGCATATACATCTTAGAGAGATAAAAAAAAATCCACTTAAAAAAAAGGTAACCAATGCCACAAAACTGGTAACAAAATCCTAATGAAAAATAACTATTCCATCCTTAGAGGTAAGAGATGTCTGTTATCCTCATCACTATTCTCGCTAAATGCTTTCTTGTCCTTTTTTTTTTTTTTTTTTTGGTAAGGAACAAAACATCCCAAATTCTACTCTTATTTTATTCAGGTAGCATTGGCGACATTGTGGCCATGGCCACGGCCACTCGCTAAAGGTTCCAGGAACTTAAGCCACCTTCACTCTTTCTAAAATAAGGGCACTCAGGAGAATGGAGCATCACTGCCTAAAACATTCAGAAGAGGAATCTAAAACAAGCCAGCACGGAGTTCTGCTGAGCTGTTTTTCTTTCGCTCTTTTCCCCCAGGGAGAAAAAGTGTAAAGGCTCTGCTCAGAATGAATCAGGCATATTTTTTTAAAAGTCACCAGTGGTCAAGTCACTTTGCATTTTTGGCAGGTTCTTGCTTCAGATACCAGTTGCATGGGCCTATGGAGCCCCATCAAACCTCACATCAGGGCTGCCCAAGTTGTCTTATTATTTATTACATGCTATGCTAAGTACCTGTGAAAGGGGGCACTCCTTGGCCAACGAACTCTGATTCATATCTTTCAGTAAGTCCTTCAGAGCATTCCTTACTGTGGTGTGCGACCATTGTTCGGGAGGCAAGTCTTCTAGTTTGGGGCAACTATTTGAGACATAGATTAGAAAGGGGATTATTACAAGATTGCATCCCGCTGCAGAACATTCCTTTAAGACAGACAGATTTCATTTTGCGCATCAAACAGATGCATCTGGAGATTGCTCTCGGTCTCCTGATTGTTCCGATTAGTTAATTACTTTATACAACACATCTGCTGTATCGATGCATGAATTATACATCAGCTGCCTGTGGTGGCTATTTTTTCACGTTACTTCTACCTTCCTGCTCTGATGCGCTTGGGAAGACAATTTAAGGTGTACTGCTTTCTCACCAGCCGTCGGGAAAAGCATGGACATATTAACCGCCTTCCTTTCATGCCTCTGCTCATACGAATTAAGATGGGAAAAAATATATAAATAAATGAGATCGCGGCAATAGTGAACAAGGCATTCTTTCACAAAATGTACACAGATGGCACTGTTCACGATAAGCAAAAATATTTTTCTCTTAAGTAAACTTTATGTAAAATGCCTTCTTACAATGCATCATTTAATTGACTCAATGGACAAAGTCTTGTCTTTTGATAACCTGCACAAACCTACAAATTTTGAGGGGGGAGGAGGGGCTTTGAAATCACACATTGAAGTTAGGAAAATAAAACAGAAGGTGTAGGTGGTAACAAAGTCGATCTGGATTAACATTTCTGAAACAGAGTTAAAAAAAAAAAAAATTGAAGGTTGACCAGACATGCTTTATTTCAAAAGGCCAGATAGGGAGGATATTCTGCCCTGGAATTGCTGTCCTGACTCACCTGTGCAACTGAATTTTCAATGTGACCACATGATACACGTCTTGAAGCATATCTGCTACCGTAGCATCGGGGGCATCTGTCACGTAAGATAGTGGAACTGGATTCCACTTTCCGACCTGGATTAGCCCTATTCCAGATAAAGAGAGTGTGTCACTAAATATTTCACCCTTCAGATAACAGATCTAGTAGAAAGTCTTCTTTCATTGCCCCCACCACAAGCAATATTGTTATTTCTGTCTGAATGATTCTCTTCCCTCTAAAAGGCAGGTCAATGAAAATATTCACAGCTTAGCTTTCCAAATTGTGAAATTATGTAAATGACCGTAGGGTTGTTTATTATTTTGGAAATAAAAGCCCATCAATAAAACCTATGCAGAGGCCACATTTTCCTAACTTATAGGAAGTTCTAATAAGACATAGCTGAACCAGTTCTAAATAGCTTTACGATTTAGATAAGATTCCCTACTGCAATGGGAATCAGCATTGAAAAATACTTTACAGCCCATAAAACCATCAGAAACAGAATAAAAGAAACAGAACTAGATATTCAGTCATAAATGCAAATTGACTCTCAACAGTCCATCTGCTCAAATACGCTCCTCACTTCCTTGTGGGTCCTCAGTGGAGCAGATTATTAAGGTCAATAAGCATACTAATGATTCAGCTGAAGTAATTTAAAAAAAAAATCTACCTCGACATTCCACATGAGCAAAATGTGTGTTAACTAAACCAAACTGAATTAAGCCAATTTTTTAAAGCCACAGTCTATAAGGAACCAATGTATTACACAGGCTACAGTTCTTTGGATTAAAAATACTCAGTGCTTTCTCTGCAAGGTAAACAAAGGATGCCAAGCAATTTTTCCAACCCCACGTATGCACTATTTACCTTTGGCCTGGGCAGCAGAGCTATGCGAATAACCCAGAGACAGCAATGCCATTTCTATCAGCTGGTTGAAAAGCATATCCTTTCTCACCAACACAAATTCTGCATGCTCCTCCTTGCAATCATATTCAATGGCGTTTTCATAATGTTCCACCACACAGAAAACTGGTAGCATGGTTCCTATCAAAAAGACAGAAAGAGAGACGCAAACCAACAATCTTCAGGAATACATAGTCAGGGTGGGGGGTGGGGGGAGAGGGAGAAAAAAACTAAGGGATGAAAATAAATCTTCACAACCATGAGGGAGGGGAGACTGTTTCCAAGGCAGACAGGCCACAGAGAGACAGGCACGCACACACAAATATATACATTCTTTATTATTTTTAAGTTGGAAGACAAATATTCAGAACGTGAACTTGGCCCTAAGTAACACAGGCTCTGCTTTCCTTTTAACAGCGCATTTTCCAAAATTAATTCATGCAGAATTACCTTTCGGATCAAATAATAAAGCTGACGACAGAGAAATAAGTGTCCCATCTGATCTGCTGTGGGTGCAGTATGCAAACGTTAACTACTATACTTGTCTTCAGACAAACCCACCTTCGTGCTTTCCCTACATGCTCCTGTTAATATTAAACTTTTCCATTCACATCCAAACAAATTATCTTTGACCCTAATATCATTAGCATTTTCTTCCATTTTGAAAGACATTTACGTTTACAGTTCCATAAAAGAAACACAAAACTTAACCAAACTGAGGCTCAAAATATATGATTTCAATATGTGCATAACACAGATAAATAGGATTTATTTTTATGGCCATTCATTTAATCTACCTGAGAAAAAAGATATCACAATAACTATATGTCTCTAAAATGAACAATCTCAGTTCTCATGAATGAGATAAAAATGAGAAAGAGAAAGGGAAACTGGCCTCATCAGGACATATGAGGATAAAGGAATCTGCCTAGATTTGATGTGTTCTCCCTTTATTTACTTTAATCCAATGGTATAACTCAGTAGCCAGATGATTAATAAGCCCAGGCCACACCACTGTTAGAAAAGAGGCTTCTAGAAACTAAAATCACGGAATGCTATGGTTCTCAAGGTGCATATGCAGCCAGCGCACTGTCAGACTTCCAGTGATAAACGGAAAAGGGTTAAAAGCAGATGCATCTGAACTGTACTGTGGCAAACTGCCAGGAAGGTATCATCTTTAGCATAAATGATGACAAGGGTTACTTTAACAGGGCACCCAGGATCCCCAATTAGTCCTCTAACATTAATGCCTCTGTAAGCTCTGCCCTCTGAACTCGCTCAATCCTACCAACTTCTGAAGATGACTAGTGCACACCAACCAGAGCTAAAAAATCAGGATTTCCCACTGACACCAGAGATGCCCTTTAAAAATGTTCCATTTGCTGGTTTGTGCTGAACAAAAGCCGGCAATAAAACAGCTACATTTTTCTACATGTGCATCTTCACCAAAGCTTCAGTGAACTGTTCACGAGAGATTCCAGCTCTGACAAATAAACCCCTTTAGGTTTACTTAGAAAAGCCCACAAACTCATTCGGAGGTACCCAACAGGCTAGGCATGAAAAACAAGTCACAGAGCTTGCCAATATTCTTGTCATTCATTCAGCTGTTTTATACCAGAGAGAGAATCCATCAGGGATCAGAGGAAGACTTGGGGAGACCACAATAAAAATAGCAATATGCAAACTGATGATTTCTTCCTTGGCTTGAAGGGACTTTGGCAAAATCTCCTAAACAAATAAACAAAACCATCCAACCCCTTTTATTTAAGAAGTGCTTTCTCAGCTCAGCCACAATTTTTATCTGACACCTGTCAAACAGAAACCATGCACATGAAAAATAATATTTACAAAAAAAACACTACCACCACCAAAAGGCTTTGGCAATTTTGCTGTTTGAAGTAAGCAGAGAACCTTCTACAATTACACTGCATTTTAAAAATAAGTCACTAAGAATGCAATGCTTAAAAAAAAAAAGCATTTGAGCAGGAAGTGAAATTACTGTACTTTGGTTTCTCCTCCCCCTGTCCTGATGTCTTCAAAGAGTTGGGTTAGTGCAGCAAAAATACATGCAGTGATTTTTCTTCTTACAGGATTCTACAGACCGCGTTCAACTATAAGCTGCTCCTCAGACCTGCTCCTGCAGGTTTCTCAATCTACTGAAATATATTGGATTTATTTTGGACTTTATTGATCAAATTTAGAGGTATCCTGTAGATAATAAAGGAGGCTATTGATAAAGTGACAACAGTATCACTTAATTACAAATCTACTTGCTAAATCTTCTAGCAAACTGTCACAGTTGTCCTGCTGCAAGGAGTAATACTGAACAGCAGCCTTCTCTCAACTGTCTGATTATTTGTGCTGGTGTTTGGTGAGACTTCCAACTACAGCAACTTCATAACCTTCCAGCATTAAAAGGGGAGTGCACTGGTCACTGCTGAATGCTAAAAATACCACATGATTTAAACCTGGAGGCAGTCTTAGAAGCTTTTGCTGAAGGTTTATGAGCCTGTGTAAACAGCACGTCTGCCATAAGGAGCAGTGAAGTCTGTAGAATCCTTGTCTAAAACTGTCCTGGCATTAAAGTTTGCTGTGCAAATATCACATAATACCAGAGACAGCTGAAATCTCCTATTTAGGAATTTATGGAACTTATATGTTTGCAGGCGTCAGAAAGTCTTTTTTATAGAGCCCCAGTGCTTCACAGTACAATATTAATGCACTCTGTTTGAAAAGCCGTAATAAATTATATTTTTAATGCTCTTACCCTGGCTTTCTTAAGATGCATACATTCTTGGCAAACAATCAATAAATAGGGTAATCATGAGTAGAGGCCAAAGAATTTGCTGAAGTGCTGTTTTTCCATTTTTAATAGATAAAGATCTAACAATACGGACTGCTGTGTCTGTTCATTTCAGGATCAATATATTCTTTGTTTTCGCCAAACCAAGGAAAAAATAAATGATTGTATGATAAATGTTATGCATCAAACACAATGAAATTCCTCTGCCTTCTAACTTTATCTACTTAATATTCTTGGTTGCTAAAAGATGGCATTTTTATCCTTTGCTTAACAAATATAAGGAAAATCTGAATCCTACACACAGTTCTTCAGAGACAAAATAAAGACTATTATGAGGCACACACATTTTACTCAGTGCAGGCACTGCTTTACACAAACAACAGCGTGGAACACCAAGTTGTTCGACTCCATCAATTTAATAAGAAAGTGCTAGAAAGGAGTCACCCAGTTACACAGTCTGCTTAAACGTGCCTAAATCTGCTCTTCATTTATCAAAGTTATCCAATTTTAGCAAATATCAAGTATTAGACTCATCAAGTTTTTTCACTGCTTAAACAATGAATTTGCTCTTAAGGAAAAAAGCCACCAAAAAAAGGCTATCAACAAAACTTTTCCATCATATCACATAAGCTCTCCATTATTTCTAACACTGCCTGACAACTAGTAATCCTAGGAAAAGAGCTAGCATGGTCTTCAAATAACCTAAGTGTCTTATTCTTAATCAGGGTTAGTTGAAGCAACAGCCACCTACACATCCTCTCTATCACAATAACACCTTATCAAGGCAAGCTTTGCGTAACCACGACCATTATACTCTACCCAGCCCTTATCATCCAAAATGTCCAGTGATTCCAGTCTCCAATGGAGTAAGATGCTCCACTCAAGCACAAAGTCTACACTTTCAAAACGTGGCTGACACCGCAGCCAGGAATGCAAGTAATTCAGATCAGAAAGAGAATCGAGGAAAAGAACACACAAAAACCAGTTCTGCCTCTCCACCCCCACACACAGTGGTGTTGGATAGACACAAGGGTTAGAAGGCTTCCAGGATCTAGCCTGAAAGTACTGTTATTTATTTACCTTTCCTAAGGTTGGTTTTCATCAGATGGCCCGAGTGTTTTAAAGGCACTCCCTGCATTTTTGCACCTGTACTCCCAAGCCTTCCTCTTCCTAGCGGGCTCCCGTTCTGCTCCAGGCGGGCAATCTTGGCTGGTGGACCCTTCGGATCGCTCACATTGTTAGACATTTCTGAATGTTCTTTCCCCTGAGTTGCCTCGTTCAAATGATCCATACTCAGTTACCCTCTAAAGATCACCTGCCAGAATTAAAAAAGAAAAGACATGTTATAATTGGTGGGTCTCAATCTCTTTCTGCCTCTCTATGTGAATGCATGTATGTAGATAGACACACATGTTCTACCCCTAGATATTGGTAAGGTAAGTATTTGTAAGGTATTTGTAAGCTCGCTTACCTAGATACATAGTATAACGCAGATGTTACCATGTTTCTGAACAACAGCGTTACATTTCCATTCAAATTAAACTAATAATTTATAGAAACAGCACTAACCCACATAAATTGAAAATGTAGTTATTCACCTACCAACAAAACTAAGGTGGGAAAGGCTTACTTTTAGGACAAGAATGACCAGAAACATAACTAAAAAGGAAATAAGATGAATTTATATAGCTCAAATTTTTAAAAATTAGAAACTCACTGCAGTACACAATAGCAACACTTTAATCAAGGATGAAACAATTTTCACAGGCCAAAAGACTAGCTGAACCTGATATATGTGTTTACATTTTTCATAGTTTAATTTTCATGAGGGGAAAATACACAGATATCACTTCAAAAGAAGGGAGCCAACACCTGCTTTTTAAAGTCCCTGTTGGCTTTACAGGTTAATTTATAGAAAAAGTTTCTGCTATCAAAGTTTCATGAGTTATCTGACCTGTTAAACAACTAGTCAAGTCCTAGTTCAACATGTGATTGGATCATTTTACCCCTAAGCAAATAGACAGTAGTAGGCAGTTTCTTCAAATGCCCCACGAACTGAAGCTTTATAACTCATTATGTTTCAGAATTAACATTTGAGCATCCATTGGTAGTAGAATGCTGTTCTAACAATTATAACAGAAAAAAGCATGAAAATACTTTGTGGCACACATATTAGATCCAAGTGTCAAGCCTGTTATTTAAAAAAAAAACCTTCATGATTATGATAAAACATAATCACCAGGACTCACAAATAATCCCAATATGCCATGAAGTCAATGTCTTCATTAACTTCCAAAAATTAAGAGATATTCATTTTCAGTCATATTATACTGGACATATTATATGGACATCAGTTTCCCCATGGTTTATAACATAGAAACCAGTACAGCATCAAAGTTACTTCTAAATTACAGATTTAAGAAGAATTGATAAGAGCAGGTAGCAGAATTCTTTTAGGAACTTTCACGCTACTTTTAAGTATTGAGTTTTCAACACTAAGGGTAAAGGGACATTTAGGAACACCAGACAGGACAAGATTAACTGTCAGTTTCTGCCAGCTGTCTAACAGTTCAACTTATACCTTTAAGCAAATTATTATGCCAAAGAAGCTATTTAGATCAGGATTTGCTGGAAGCAGCTTCTATTTGCTGGGCCATTCTATAAACCTTTTCTCCCTGTTTAACCAAAGATGACTTTGTCCCATATAATCCGAAAAGATATGAATGGGGCGGGGGAGCAGTGGTATTCTGTGGGCTTAAAAGCAAACTTAATACCAACTGGAGAAGTACAAACTTGGAGAAATAATGGCTACTCATCCTTGTACTGCAGGGTGGCACGCTGAGAACTAAAGGTTGACGGTGGATTCCAGGGTCCCATCTGTTTTTGGTTATGAGGTTCATTAACAATAAATGTGCCTCTTTTAACCACTTTTTATCAAGATTACTCTTTTCCATTATAATAAGCCGCAGTCTAAAGCCAAAATTAAAGGGTGATGATTATTAACTTATTCAAAGCACTGTGTATGATGTTTCCTATGGATTATAACACAGGGCAGCCTTTTCTGAAATTGGTTGCCTCATCCTAGAGCAGAAGATGAATTTGAAAACATGATTTGAAAAGAAAATACTTAAGCCCTGGGGCAATTTAAAGGGTGGGGGGGGGAGGTAGGGGGAGTAGACAACAGCATCAAAGTTAATACTACAAAACAAATTAAGTAGTCATGAGGCTTAACAGCATTCTAAACTGTACAGCAAATAAAACTGGTAGATTGTAATTTAGTTCATGTATTGACAATCAAAACATCATACAGGTCATGCAAAATGGTCCCTCGAAATACCCACCTATAAGCGACTATTAAACACTCAGTCATCTTGTAAAAGGCTTTACATTATAAAGCAAAATTACATGCACATAAAACACCCAATTTACTCATTTACTCTGTGCCCAAGGCTAAAGTTCACCAAACCTCAGTTTGGAATTGCAAAGAGCAACCTCCACCGGGCCTTCCGGACTGACAGCACGGGAACTAACTACGGTCTCAACAGATGCCAGGCTGAAGAGTTTCTTTTGAGTTACACATTTTAAAACCCATTTTCGTGCAACGTCTGGTTGGCACACAGAAAGCACGCTACTTTCTCCAAATCCCATCCCCTCCCCACCCCATAAACTAAGTCCCTATATGATAATTACTGAATAAAACAGTGAACTCAGACGCAGCAATTATTTCCTTTAAAAAGAAAAAGAAAAAAAGCACGAAATTCCGGTTTCAAGAACCTATTCTTTTGCACCGTGGGACCGTTTTCAACGAGTTCCTTGCTGCTTGGCCTCCCTCGCCCCCACCCCAGAACCCCATAATCACATTTTAAAGAGATTGTGCCCTTATCCATTCCATATGGCCGGAACGATCCAGGCCAAGCTTTCACTGTGACCTTTTAAAGAGACAAAGAAGCAAAGTACTATCTAGAAACAGAAACACTGCAGTTTTACTGAGTGAAATTAGCAAAACCGACCTGAAACTCACCACTTCAAAACTTGACAGCATATAAATAACAAAAACAAAGGAGATTTCCTTTGCAGCCCGGGTTCTTGAAGAGAAGTTCAAGACTGATGTTTTCTATGTCCTTTTTTTTTTTTAATTAAAAAAAAAAAAAAAAAAAAAAGCAGCAGACCTGAAGGCGACTTCCCCTGAAATTGTATTATTTTCTCTTCCCCTACCCCCGCTCCCCTAAGCGGGGGAAGGGCAGAAACGAACGTCTAGAACAGTAGCCATGGGAGAGGGGGGTGCAAAAAAAAAAAAAAAAAATCACCATGCGAAAAACAACATATAGGGTTTGGAAAATGTCTAACCTCGGCGAACGGGGCTTTTCGATGGGGGAGGAGGGGAGAGTAGGAAGGAGGGAGGAGGGAGAAGATAAAATTGATCTGACAAGTGATTCGTGGGGGGTGGGGGGTGGCGATCGTAAAAACAAAGCAGAACCCCGTTAGGAGCTGTACACTGTGGTGGTGCTGGGGAGGCGAGGTGGTGACTGACGCTTCTCTTAAAAAGAGGGGGAAAAAATAAAAAAAAAAAAAAGAAGAAGAAAACAGAGAATCACTGCGGACCAGGTCTCCAGAAAGGGGGGAGAGAGGGGGTTGGGGGGGTGCAGGTCCCCTCGCTGCGCCCCCTCCCTGCTGCTCGCGGGGCTCCCGGGCGAGGAAAGTCTACTTCTGGCTGTCACTTGCGATATTGTTCCCCAACAGCCCCGCGGCGCTCGGGGGGGCGGCCGGCTCGCCGCCTCCGAGGCCCCCGCCCCTCCCCAACGACTGCGCCTCACACCGACAAACCTTAAACTTTCTTCCCACCGCCTCGCGCCCCCCGCGAGGGCAGCGACCGGGGCCCGGCGAGCGCGGGGGGCGGCAGGTCGCGAGGGGAGCCGCGGGCGGGCACTGAGGTGCCACTTTGGCCTCGGCCCTCGCCGGCGACAGCCCCGCGGACCCGCTCCCGGCCCATGGGCGCGCGGCGGGGAGCGTGTGGGGCGCCGCGGGCGCGGGGGGGGGCGCGAAAGCGGGGTGGGGGGAGGGGAGGGAATCAGCAGGCACCCCCAGCCGCCTCACCGCCTCCGCGGGGACCAGCTCCCCGCCCCGCCCCCGCCCCCCGAAAAGTCGCCCCGCTCTCGCGGCGCCCGCGTCCGAGGTAAACAAGGAGCGCCACAATGGCCCTCGGACTTGGGGGCGGGAGGGGGGGGGCCCAGAAACCCCGACAAAACTGAGGAGGAGTTTCCCGAAATCGCGGCGGGGAGCGGGGAGCGGCCCCCGGGCGGCCCGCGCGGGCGGGCGGGCGGGCGGGCGGGCGGGCGGCCGAGGCGGCGGCTGAGGCGGCGAGGCCGGCGGCGCGGGGCGAGGCGCGCGCGTGTGAGGAGAGTGAGTGCGTGTGAGCGCGTGTGAGAGTGTGAGCGGGTGTGAGCGCGTGTGGGGGGTGTGTGTGTGCGTGCGTGTGAGCGCGAGTCCCCGGACGGGGCCGCTCCCCGCCTCGCCCCCCGGCTGGCGCGCCCGCCTCGCCCTCGCCGCCGCCGCCGCCGCCCGTTAAATTCGGAGTCGCCTCATCCCGGCCGCCGCCGCCGCCGCCGCCGCCGCCGCCGCCGCCGGGCCCGCCCGGCCCCGCGCGTCCGCCCGCGCCGCAGCCCTCCGCGCCGAGCTCCGCCGCCGCCGTGGCCGCCGCGTCTTCCTCCTCCTCATTTTAATACAGAATCGCCCGCGCCCGGCCCCAGCCCGAGCGCGCCGCCTCCTCCCGGCCGCCGAGCCCTTCCCCAGCGGGGCCGGCTCCGCCGCCGCGTCCGGGAGCGGGAGCGAGCGAGCAAGTGGTGGCGGCGGCGGCGGGGAGGGGGCGGGCGGGGGAGGCGGGGGCGCGGGCGGGCGGGCGGGCGGCGGGCGCGGGCGGGGGAGGGGGCCGGGTGCACGGAGCGGGCGGAACGGGGACGGGGATTAAAACCCGGGCTGGAGGGCCGGGACCGGGGCGGGGGCGGCGGGCGAAGCCGCCGCGAGACAAGTAACTAGTGAATGGGGGGGGGGGGGAGCGCGCGATTTCCGGCCCCGGGCGCGCAGGAATTTGTAATGAGCTTGATTGGAGTGAGGCGGCCCGACATTTATTCACACAATACCCAGAATAACAGGGCGCCGCGCGAGGGCCAGCGCCGGCCGCCGCCGGGGGGCGCGCGGGGGCGCGCGGGGGGCGCGCGGGGTTCCCTGGCAGCGGCCGCCGGCGCGGGGAGGGAGCGCGCGGCGCGCGGGCGGCAGGGGCAGGTGTGCGCCGGGCGCGGGCGGGCGGGAGGAGGGGCGCGGGCAGGAAAGTGACGGGGCGGAGGGGCGCGAGCCGAGCGGGAAAACCGAGCCCCCCCTCTTCTGCCCCCGCCCCCCCCGCACGCCACAAAAGCCACAGAAAGGAAGACGCCGGGAGCGTCGCGCGCGGGCACCTCAGGGACCCGCGCGGCAGGGGGGCGCCCCCGGCTGCGGGGACGGGCGCCCAGGGCGGGGGTGGGGACCCCGGGGAGGGGCCCGTCGGAAGAGGGGGGGCTGTCTCCCCGAAGAAGCGCGGGGTTGTGCGGGAACGTCCGCGGAGGAAGAAAGGCCGGGACCCTGGAAGGGCTCTCGCGGACAGCTCTCCTCAGGGGGGGGGGCTCCCCAACTCTTGAGAGGCGACGCTCGGGAAGAGCCGAGTCCGGGCTTGCTGGACCCGTCCGAGGCCGGCTGCAAACTCCCTCACTCCCGAGCCCGCGGGACGCGCTGCAGGAAGACGAGCGTGTCCCAGAGTGGCCGAGTTTACCCAAAATTGGGGTCACTCGCTGAAAGAGACCGGTGATTACAAAAGACGGGGTGCCAGGGGTGCCACCTCTCTGAAATGCCATGCACCCCGCCGGGCTGAAGACGAGAAAGTTGGGGTTGGGGCAGTACATGCACTCAGGCTGCAAGCTAGGGTGAGTTCCCCGGTGAGGGAGATGGTCGTGAGCACATCCATAGGATCCTCTCTCGCTTAGATAATCTATTAAATATAGTTTCTCTGCAAATGCAGAACACTACACTCTCGCCCCAAACCCAGGCAGCGTTTATAGCTCAGGTTGTTAGGACTAAACATCTTACTACCCTGAAGGCAGTTAATCATGCAACAAAAACAAAAATGTTGTAAGAATTATTTTTCAGAACACACTCGTAGGGGAAAGAGAAAAAAAATCAGTCAGATAAACATTTTGTTACACATAAAAAAGCAACAAGTTAACACAAGTAGAGAGATAAGAGGGAAATATGCAAATTAAGCCCTTTAAAGCTACCAATACCCTCTTAGAGACACTGTTTACATTAGAAATCTAAGAAAAGCAGAAGGTAAAGCAGAAGATAAAGTACAGAAAATAATGGCCTCCTGGGGGGAACAAGTTTAGGAGAAACACAATGAAAATACATCACTCTAATGGCACCCAAGTTTCACCCAGAAACCCGAAAGGTTAGTCAAAATCGAGGAAGGCAATCGTGAATCTTGGCACATGTAAAAACTGAGCCTTGAGCAAAAGAAGCAACATGATAATAAAACACAAAACACAGCATCAAATACCAGAAAATAAATATAAGGCAATCTGTACTGAAAAGTCCAAATGATACCACATTTTTAAAAGTTGAAGTGAGGCGAAATAAGGAAGGAAGATATTTTGAAGTATAAGAAGCCTAATCAATAAGGAAATGCACCAACACAGCAAAAGTCAAAGTTGGATGTTTGCATGGAAGTACTCAAACTGATGATGAAAAGACATTTTTAAAAAAAATATTTTGCTCCTTTAAGGAACAGAGAAAACCATCTAATTACCTCTATTGTGACAATGGTCTTTGCAATAGGATCGGTTAAATTAGGAATTTCCAAGATGGGGATTCTATAGTTGCTTTAAGCTGGTGATGCCTCATGTTTTGTCCGTCTGGTTTTCAGTAGGGACAGTGCATTCTAGTATGACATTGCACACGTTCACAAACAAGAGCAAAATCTAAAAGTAAAGAAAGATGATTTGTGGACTAAAAAATATTCCTGCAACTTCACTTGAAGTTCAATGCTTTTTATAAAAATGAAGTTAGCAAGTAATTGGGCAAAGTAAAATTTGGGGAAAGTGCAAAGAACACTAAGAAAAATGGTTTTTGAAAGTATCAGTATTAGGAATAAAATACACTGGAATAAAATATGGTAACTATTACTCCATCATCTGTACATACAAGTAAGACAAAAAGCTTCCTGATTGCCTTAGTCTTCTAAGGACCTGGTCAATGTTATGTAACACAGGAATTAAGTGTAGTAATCTTTACATCTGAATAACACCTTTTATCCAGGAATTCATAAACACAAAACTTAGAAGTGTCTAATAATGAGGGACATGGCCTCAGAAAATGGTAAACAGAATCAATGAGGATAAAGCTATCTAAAACTGACTTTATTATAAAGAATAATGATAGAGTACAATTATGGATCTATTCATCACATATCCATACTCATTTTCCCTCAAGCACATTCTTTATTTCAGAACTACGTGATCGTACCAGATGACATAAGTACAACTGCACACCGCATTTTATACCTTCCAAGTAACAGAGTGCATTGCTGAACTTAATTGCTATACATTATCTACTCTTTAGAATAGTCAGGATAGCCACTGAAAAATGACCTGGGTAAACTCAGATTTTAAAAAAAGAAGAAAAAAAGGTAATCAGGAAAATACCAGCTTTCTAAGGCATATGTGAGGAAAAACTATCACAGTGGAGGAGAAAAAAAGCATCAAGTTATTCTACACAATTTATTGCAATTTTGGCAACAAAGACGGGAGCAAGTATTGAAAAAAAAGTTAAACTTTATAAAGCTAGCTATCAAAAAAGAAAGCTTCAAGAATATGAAATATTGCAAGTCAAATACATGCACTGTATATATAACATGTGCATGCACAGTTAAAGCCGAGGACATTAATATTTTATCACATGAAAAGGCACTGACACTGGCTCCACAGAGGTGGCAAAGATAAAATACTGTAACAGATATACCAGATTTCTTAAAAAACTACTTAATAATAAAAGGACAATTGCATGTTTCACATGGCCTCATATTTAGATAAATAGGCAGGCAGATATCCAAAAGCATTAAAATACATTCAGAGATCTGAATAGCACATACATTTGTAATAAACAGAAAAAGCATTTAGATTCTGAACGCTTTTAAGATATGGCAACTCAGCCAGTCACTGTTAGCAAAGCAATGCTCACCATCACAGCACTTTCTAAGGACATGTGGGTTTTTTTTTTTTTCTTCATCTTTTTAAATTCAAATACAGTTGGCTATCCACACTCTTAAAGTAGCACAATTTATGTAGCATATTGCTCTTTTTGTCCTGTCGACTCTTTGTTTTTGGCTTTAGCTGCAGGTGGTGTTTTCCATATATGAATTTCTGGGAATATGGTCTGTGTTGGCCATATAAGGATGTCTATTTGAGCCATATGTTTTGTTGTCATGTGTCTCATTTTGTCTGTCTGGGATGTCAGGACTGATTTCCACATCGTTTCTTGAATGGACCAACTACACATTTGTAAGAACAGAGAGAAAAGGAGCTGGGGCTGGAGCACACACGACTTTGTCAAAACATATATTTGAGAGGAAATGCAATATCCTGTAAACATTTGCGCCCTTCTTCTCACATCTTATCTGTGACTGACATCACAACTGCATGCAGTTTAGGAGAGCATCTACTTAAGCAAGTG